ACCCCACCATGGCATCTCAGAGTGAGCGAGAAGAAAGTGTTTTTCATGCCAGCTCAGTGCATCAGTGAGGTCACACATTTTGAACGTGTTTTCCACATTTTATTAGACATGGCCTCAGAGTGATGCTGGGAGCTCTGATAAAGCAGAGGAGCGGGGGTGAGTCGGGGGGGCCTATATGATGTGGGAGCTCCAAATTGCTCCCAGCAATCGCTGATTGCTTTGCCATGCCATCTTTGCAGCGTGACGTTTTTTCTTACAAGCTTCCTGCATTGTCAGCTTTCATAGAGGTATGAGGATTTAGGGTGTCTCGTAACTTTTTGCAAAGAGGTTATAGAAACCTTGCAAATGTGGGGAAAAATGAAGCTGCTAGGAAGCTGCGCTTCACCAGGGACAGACATATATCCTTGTCAATTTTTTTAGCTCAGAGCTATTACCTTCTCTCAGAATAATGCGTATGGTGCAGGCTGGAGTCCATTTGTCAAAGCTCTCTACTCTTCCTCATACTCTTTCCTAGTGCTTTTCATATGATGTTTTCGCACTGCTTTGATTAAGCCCAGTTGCCTTCCTGAAAAGTAAGAAAGCTTTTTTATTCTTATGTTTCATGATAGATACAGTGGTCCACTGTGGATCTGACAGTAGATCTGACTAATGTCAGATAGTATCTCAGGGCTAGAAATGATTGAAAACTGCAGAATCTAGACTTACGGCATCATATTCTAGCCGTGCGAAAACACCTTTTCCAAAGGCAGCCTTCCGCCATCCTTTGTTACTTCCCAGCAGAGCCACTGCTTCAGCTCCCATTTTGCATAGCTCTTTCTTTGTAAAGGAGATGCGGTTTCTTCAGATCTTATGATTCTGGGGGGATATTGCAAAGCTGTCTTCCCCTTTAGCTATGGAAAACTCTGAAATGATACCACCTGGAATATTTTGTAGAGAAAGAACATGCTATCTACAATACTCTCTTTCCAAGGTAATCATAAGCCTTTTGTACTACTTTTTGTGATAGTTTCTGCCTGAATG